TTTTCTCCTAAGATCAAAGATCAGTGCTATCTGACTCAGCTAACCTTTCAAATTAAGGTCTTCATCCAGAAGCTAAGGGGTTACTCTGGGAGAAACAGCCTCTTGGGTTACCCACTAAATTTATCTCTGGATGATATAATCCTATAGTTTAGCTGGAAGGGACCTTAGAGGTGATCCAATTCAATCCCCCTAATTTTACCGATGAGGAAATTGAGGCCCAGAAAATTTAAGTCACTTACTTAAGGTCACACAGTTAGTAAAAAGCAAAATCAGGATTTAATCATAGAATTCTGGGCCTGGAGTCAGAAAGACTCCCCTTCCTGAGTTCAAATACAGCCTCAGACGCTTACTGGCTGTGTGACCCTGGGCAAGTCCCTTAATCTTGTTTGCCTCAGTTTCCTCATCTGTAAAATGATCTGGAGAAGAAAACAGTAAACCATTCCAGTAACTTTGCTAAGAAAACCACAAATGGGGTCACTTGGACAAGACTGAAACATGACTAAACTCTCTTTTCCAACTCGGTCTTGTGCATAGTATATTTCCATTCATTAGGGGCTTAGAACCTTGCACCCTGCAATTTAACCTTAAAACCAGGGTTTGAGATGGGAAAGAGCAAAGGAAATTCATGAAGCTCAGCCAGTCCAAGTTGTCAAGAACTTAGGAAACCAGCAGGGCTCGAGGCATAGAGAAAGGAAAGGTAGCCAGAGCTGTCTACTCTCCTACCTCCACTTCCCAGCTATTAGCACCTCCTTTGCCAGCACTTAGATTTAAAGGCACAGTAGGAACAGAGACAACAGGGAAGGGCAAGCTACTAGGCTAGACAAGCCAGTCAGCTTGGCTACTGTCTCCCAACTTTCCCAGTTTAAGACCCAGAATGAGGGGAATGTGGGCTGAGGTGAAGGGGCATTAGGAAGACTCTTGTTCATTCCTACCCGCCCCAAACCTATTTCACAGGAGATAGTGGAGATGTCTATGATCCTTCCATGAAACTTTAATTACGGAAGGCATTGTCTGTACCACTATCATCCCTCTCACTTGAACTATCCCTAGGCCTCTCTCTACCTTTTCTTCAGCTTGGCTCAGCCCAGCTCAGCTCTAACCAGACAGTCACTTGTCATTTCTCAAGAGATGCCTCTTATCCAAGAATTTATCCCCTGCCCCTGAAACCTCTCCAGGAGGGATTTCTTTTTTCTCTTCTCTTGAAGCCAAGGACAAGGATTGGATTCCAGTCAGCTGGATCCAAGCTCAGGGACCTGTAGGTCTACTCTCCTACATCCCTGCCTCTTCCCTCAGATGCTTTTTATTATTCTGGGAGGGTCTTGCTCCCAGTGAGATGTCACAACTCCTCCTAAGGTACTGAAGGTCCTCTAAAGGTGAAATTTCAGGCATCTGTGACAGGAGGAGGAAAAGGTTCTGAGGGATAAAGGGATAGGCTTGGCCCTGACATTTCAGCTGGGGCCACTGTGTGATACAGGTGGGAAAAACAACAACAAAAGAAAACCAGTGTTTCCTCAGCTGCTTTCAGAAGGAAGACGATTTTTCCCCTTTCGATTGGCAGAGAGACAGAGACAGAGAGCATTTATTAAGCACTTACTATGTGCCAAGAAGGGGCAACTCTGGGCACAATGGATAGAGCACCAGGCCTGCAGTCAGGAAGACCTGAGTTCTAATTTAGCCTCAAACACTTACTAGGTGTGAGGGACCCAGGGCAAGTCCCTTCCTCCTGTTTGCCTCAGTTTCCCCATCTACAAAATGAACTGGAGAAGGAAATGTCAAACCACTCCAGTAACTTTGTCACAAAGAGTCGGATGTGACTGAAAGACTGAACAAGAAAATGTACCAAGCACTGTGTTCAGTCTTCAGTCCCACTCTCCCATGACCCCTCTGCTCCTTCCTATAGAAATCAATTTCAGGGAGTCATCTAACAACCAAATTACTCTCCCTCTCCAAATAAAGCATCAGTGAGGCAGAAGGGACTTTTATTTAGCACTATCTCTTCCAACCTCCTAATTTTACAGAGGAGGAAATTGAGGCTAGAGAAAGGAATCATCAATTTGCCCAAGGTCACAGAGTAGCAAAGGTCGCATTCAAACCCAGAACTTTCATTTCCCAATGCAGTACACTCTTTCTAGTATATATAACATAACATGAAGGTTCATTCCTTCCCTCTGCCCTTCCAGTGAATCAGATCCTTATGTCTCTTCCCATACACATTCCAGCCCCCTTTATCCACCCTAAGGATTCTCTTCAATGGCATTTTAATGTGTCCTCAGCTACCTCACACACCCAGATAGGACCAGCCTGCCTCTCAAAAAAACCAAGCTTCACCAGAAGTAGGAGGGGCGACTTTTTCAGTCTCCCTCCTCCAAGCTTGCGGCAGAAACCTCAGCGGAAGAGGCACCTGATCCCCTCTGCCCATACTCACCTGCACCTTACCCAGTAGCTCATCTCTGTTAAATGCACCCCCCCTCCACACAGCTCACAGAAACACACACACACACACACACACACACACACACACACACACACACACACACACACACACACACACACACACCCTCTGACTCTCCTGACATCCTTATTCAGTCCCTACCTAGTGCCTTCCCCTCATCAGTCAGAGCTGAACTCCGCCCTCCAACGTGCATGTCCACCCTTCCTTCAGCTTTCTCGGAGCCCTGGCATCCCACACCTCACAAACAGCTGTAACGTATTCTCTCTCCTCTGCAAGGTGGGCAGCACAGTCTCTCACGCCATTCCCACCACAGGCTCCCTCCTGCCGTCCAGTGCTCAACGTCCTTCCTAGCCAACATCCCAGGTCCAAAAACCCCTCCCCACACCAGACTCCTCAGCCTGGTTTAGACAACCCACTAGCTTCTCCCCTTCCACACAAAAAGAAGATAATCGGGTATGTGTGGTGAGAGGGGGAGGGGGAGGGGACCCGGATTGGCGTAGAAGCGGCGCAAGAGAAGGGTACTGGGGAGGGGTTGGCGATCAGTGTTTCTTGGAGACTCCCCCTTCTACTCATCAGATGATGCATAACTGAATGGGATTTTATATTTCCTCCTTGGACTCCCTGCCTGGGTCTGTCGGGAAGCCTGCCTATCCCACCATCTGATAACTGACTCCACCCGCCAGCATCACGCCTGCAAGTTACCTTGGGGTCTGCCCTTATGTTTCAGTGGGAAATACATCAACCTTGCCCAGTACACATTTCACTCTTCGTGGTCTGCACCATCGCCCGCCCTATTCAGTGCTATCAGAGTCTCCGGAAGAGCTGGGGGAATTCTACAGAAGGTCGAGAAAGCTGGGCAGGGAGGTGGTGCAGTGGATAGAGCACCGGCCCCGAAGTCTGGAGGACCTGAGTTCAAATTGGGCCTCAGATAAAACTCTTGATCAATCACTGTGTGACCCTGGGCAAGTCACTTAACCCAAATTGCCTAAAAAAAATAAAAATAAAAATGTTCACCAACAATTTCTTCAAACATCATTCTGGAATTTTCTCAGGAATGGATGTAAAAAAATCGGGGCAGCTAGGTGGCGCAGTGGATAGAGCACCGGCCCTGAAGTCAGGAGGACCTGAGTTCAAATTCGGGCTCAGACCAAACACTTGACAGTAGCTGTGTGACCCCAGGCAAATCACTTAACCCCAATTGCCTAAAAAAGCAAAGAGAGAGAGAGAGAGAGAGAGAGAGAGAGAGAGAGAGAGAGAGAGAGAGAGAGAGAGAGAGAGAGAGAGAGTGAGTGAGAGAGAGAAAGCTACCCCAAAAATCGTTCTATAGAGGGAGAAAGGTGATCGTCGGGTTTGAGCTCCTGAGCAAGCCTGTCTTAGAAAACACTGCAGCCCCCTAGGCTGCTCCTCTCCCTTCAGGGGCTCTCCCCAAGGATCCTGGTAGCTAAAACCGAAGGGACAAATAGTCACTAGGTTCACTCCACATCAACATTGGTATCCATCCCCGAAAAATCGCAAACTTTTTAACTTCAAGAGAATATGCATACATTCCGTATTTGCATTCGGGAGCAGAACTGTGGGGCTGCACCCCTCGAATACACTCCTACAGTTGGTTTTCAACAACACACTCACACTCACGCGCGCGTACACACACACACGCACGCACACACACACACACGCGCACACACACACACACACACACACACACACGCATGCACGCACGCACGGACAACGGTACAAGGGAACTCCCTGCTTTTTCCATAGCTAATTATAGACTTGAAAGTCTGAAGCGCTCTGAGACTGTTTTGCAAGAAGCAGAGAGAAAACTGCTGAGGTTTCTAGGCAAAGCCAAAGAAATTCAATTTGCAACCCCCCCAACCCCGTAACTCCCCCCAGCTGCCTTTCCCACCCAACCCCTCTGCAACTCCTTTCCAGTCCCCACTGCGGCTCCTCCTCCCTGCTGAAGATTTCTCACCGGGTTATTTTTTTCCATCTCTCTCTCTCTCTCTCTCTCTCTCTCTCTCTCTCTCTCTCTTTGGGGCTTTCAAGAAAAGGAACAGACGCGGAAAATATTTTTGCAACCGTTTTCCATTCTGCGTCTCATTCCCGAGCCAAAGGGGAGGTGGGGGGAGGGAGAAATATATGCATTTTCCAAAGAGATTTGCCCCGACATCCCACCCATTGCCCCCATCAGCTCCGGACTGCAAGAACAGAGACATTTACCCCAGCCCCTCAACCTCACCCCGATCCTCCTCCTCTCTCTCTGGCCCAGCCCTGACCAAAACTGAAAGGCAATAAGAAGAAAAGCAAACCAATCATCTGGTGCCTCCCAACTGAGCCTGGGAAAAGAAGCCTGGACAAATCTTTGCACCCCAAATCAAAGGGCTACCCCACCGCCACCATGAAACCTCAAACGAAACAATCTCACAAACCCTGACCCACCCAAGGCATGATAAGAAGGGAGAGTCCGGGTGTGTCAGGAGGGATGGGAAGAGGAAAGAAGCTAGCAAAGTTTGCAAAGCCCAAGTCAATTCATTCTCCACAAGCCTACCTCTGCTCCTAGCAATAATCCAGACTTCTCCAAGCGGGAATCTCCCAGCGGGCTTCCATAGAGTGGAGGGGTGGGGTGGGAGGACCACCCACCGGCCCTCCTAATATAGTAATAATTGCTAAAGGCGCCTGTTTGCTTGCTCGCCTTCCCGCTTTGGGGTGAGAGTAGGCTGGGTCTCCTCCTCTGGCCCTCCAAGGGAGAAGGTCCTTGGGAGCCCTGGAAGAAAACGCGTGGAGGAGAGGCTGGGGTGGGTTTCGTTGGCCCTTACTCTCTGCAGAGGGTTTGTCCCGGGAAGTTGGTGGGCCCCCCAGCCCTGGACGGTCTTAACGGCTGATCTTTCTTCAGAAAATGCTTGTCATGGCAACAGCTAGCGCCAGCCCTGCCAGACTCGCTCTGGCTCTCTCTTTCCCACTCTCTCCCAGCGCAGGGAGAGGAGGAGGAGCAGGAGAAGGAGAGGTGGGACTAGGCTGCCAGCCCAGCGATTACTCTCCTGTTAAGGTGGTCTGATTCTTTGGCTGCTTCCTGGCATCTTTTTAAGGGGGAATGAGGGGAAAGAAAGGGGAGGAATCCTTTCTGGTCTTTCTGGCGCTCTCCCCTCCCTCGCCGCGATCAGCCTGGAGAAGCTTGGGGGAGGGAGCAAGGCGGTAAGACTAGAGAAATAAATGGCGGGAAGGGGCGGGGGAGAGGGGGGAAGAGATGTCGAGCGGTTGGAGCCCAGGAAAGGAGAAAAAAGGGCGGGGTGGCGGGGGGGGGGACGGGGAGGGGAAAGCCATGTAAAGGTGGTGAGCTTTGCGTCCCTTTGCTACCGCGTCTTTCACTCTCTGCACTTGGAAACATTCAGTATGGCCTCCGAAAACTCCCTGATGGGGCTAACAGCCTGTAGCTAGCTCTGTAGGAAAAGAAGGGTTTAATCAGACGTGCGCACATCCACACTCATCCTCAGTGAGATTTCATACATACATGCTCACATGCCTCCTTCCCACCATCACCTACCTCACTACACACATTCGCAGGTATGGACCTGTGCAGATGCACAACTGCACAGAAGTGCCTTTGACCACACACACAGATACCTTCCTACACTTAGTCATAACACATACTTGCGCACACAGATAAATTGTTCTCATCCTTTTACCTAGTCTCCTCCGCATGCTTTCCCAGAGACACCCACTATTCATTTACAGTTGCACATATTCACTCACTAATACATTCATACACACTCCATACAACTCACACACGTTTACATGCTGACAGAAGACGCCTTAACACTTAAGCTATTCATGCCATGGAAACAATGACCCACCACTTTCCCTTTCCAACCATAGAAAGATCCCCCATCTTCCCCCATGATTTCTGTAGAGAGCCTACCTACCCATCCAGCTAAAAGTCCAATTCTAGAGACTCCCTCCTTTTTTGTAAGCCTGATGCCCCAGGGCCTCTGAAGATATCAAGCCAAAGTACTCATGGCGTATTATTATGTATTCGTTGTTTTGTACCTCTCAAATGCACTTATTGAGTACATGTAATTATATATTTTAGTTATGTGTCCGTTTTCACCCCCCATTAGATAAATAATCTTCAAGAAGGCCAAGACCCAATTACCTGAACTTTCTGTATCTCCCCAGCATTCAGCACACATACTTAATATTTGTTGACTTGGACTGAATTCCTTTCTTTCTCCACTGAAAAACAGAGTCCTTAAGAAGGGAGGGCTTTGGGACAGGGACTGGGGAGGGGTCTGCTTCTTTGTGAAGAATCTATCCCTAGGGCCACAGAAGGGAAGCTGTCTTTAAAAGGGAGCATGGAACTTAGCAAACCAGAGGCCTATTGTTCTTCTACTGGAGTTACTCCTCTTCCAGCCTTTCTCTCCCCTACTGCCCACACCCTTTATCCTCCACCTTCAGGAGGAATCACACAGAGAAAGGCTAAACACTTGTCCGGGTGGAGACAAGATGGAGACCAGATGGAAAAAAGACTAGGTCTTTGCCATCAAAATCAATACAAATCTAACAGGGCACAGATACATACAGAAACAGTCATTATAGAAGACAGAACATGGTATGGGCAAAGGAGACATTCAGACAAAGTGCTCTCGGAAAATTTGCTTAATATTTTTTATTTTCAAGGAAACGGGGAAGGCTTCATGGGGGAGGTAGCACCTGAAAGAGGAGGGGGCAGGCTTGAAAAGAGGGACAAATTCTAGGGTATATAAATTTGGTGCCTTTAAGGCTATTCAGAACAAGAGAGAGGAGTGGAGTAGTCTAGCTGGGATGGCACACAAGAGTGTGTGAAGACAAATAATGTGAAAGAAGGCTTTAAAGTCAGGTTGGAGTCAGACACTGGAGGTCCAGACTTTGTATTTTGTCCTGTGGGCAAGAGGGAGCCAGTGAACATGTTTGAGCAGAAGAGTGATGTGGTCAGATCTTGAAAGATAATTCCAGTGGATGTTTCCAGATGCATTAAAAGACCTGAGAGAATGAAGCAAAAAGACCAATTAAAAGGAATGAGTAAGGGGCAGCTAGGTGGCACAATGGATAGAGCACCAGCCTTGGAGTCAGGAGGACCTGAGTTCAAATTTGGCCTTAGACACATAACACTAGCTGTGTGACCTTGGGCAAGTCACTTAACCGAATTGCCTAGCAAAAAAAAAAAAAAGGAATTGGGTAGTATGGTAGAGATTAAAATGGGGACTAGGCACCAGAACAGAGAGTAGAGAGGAAGATGTTTTCACTGGCTGTCCCTTATGCACGGAAAGCTCTCCCTCCTCATCTTGGTCTCCTCCTGGCTTCCTTCAAATCCTACCTAAAATCATACCTTCTATAAGAAGCCTTTCCTGGTGCTCCCTAATTCTGGTGCCTTCCCTCTGTTGATTATTTCCAATTTATCCTATATATAGTTTTTTTCCCCTACTTTATTATTTACACATTGTCTCCCACCTTAGATTGTAAGCTTCTTGAGGGCAGGGACTATCTTTTGCCTCTTTTTCTATCCCCAGAGCTTAACACAGCTCCTAGCACTTAGTAGGTGCTTAATACTGATTGATCATTTGCATAACATCTTCTACATTAGACTGTGAATTTCTGGAGGTCACTAACAGTCATTTACCTTTCCTTGTAATCCCAACGCTTAGCACAATGCCTGGCACATAGTAGGTGCTGAATAAATGTTTATTGGATGGCTGACATAGGGAGGAAATTTTTTATTAGTTTTAAGATCCATCTTGAATCCTGAAGACATTGGGGCAGTAGGAAACCCCCCCCCCCAACAACAACAACAAAAAAAAATGAAAGCCAGGAATACCAGCATCCTACAAATAAATCAGACTTATGTAGCACTTTTGGAGGCAGCTAGGTGGCTCAGTGGATATAGCACTGGGCCTGGACTTAGGAAGACCTGAGTTCAAATCCAGCCTTAGACACTTACTAGCTGGGCACCTCACAACTTCTGACTACCTCAGTTTCCTCATTTGTAAAATGGGCATAATAATAGTACCTACATCCCTGTGAGGCTCAAATGAGATAAATATTTGTAAAGTGCTTAACATACTGTATGTAAGTGCTTAATAAATGTTTCTTTCCTAGTTCACTTGTGCTACTGGGGCTCCTAGTGCCATAGGGTACCAATATTTGACCCCAAACTACTCATGCCATGCACAGCAAAGTACTGTGAATAAAAGCACCAAACTGGGAGTCACAAGATCTTTGGCTGAACCCTGGCCCTGCAAAATGAACTGGAAGCTCAGACAAGTAATTTTATATACCTACATTTTTTTTCTCCTCCCAGTGAACATAAGCTCCTTGAGGGCAGGAATTGTTTCATTTTTGTCTTTGTATTCTCACCATCTAGTGTAGCCCCAGGAACTGTAGTAGGCATCTAATAACAGTTTGCTTGATTTCCCCTCTCTGGGCCTCAGTTTCTTCTGCTGTAATGATGGTGGGCAGTATAGACTGAATGCTATAGATTCCTTTCCATTCAAAATTTCAAGGTCTCCTCCCAGCTCTTTGATTCTGTGAGTCTCATCGTCTGCCAGCACTGTTGGCCAATTCTATTCAACAAGCATTACTTAAGGAACTACTATATGCTAGGTACCCACAAAGCATCTGGTCTACTCAGCCACTCCTTACCCAAGGAGGAAGGAGAAGGATAGCCCTGGCAGTGGTCAGTGCCCAGTTCTCCCTGGCCCTTATTCTCCAGGTCCCCAAAATAATACTAGGTGACATTTACATAATGCTTTAGTTGAGCGCTTTACAGGCATTATCTTCTTTGAGACTTAAAAGAACCCTATGATGAAGGTACCATAGGCTTCCTATCCCCATTCTACAAATGAGTAAACTGAGGCTCAGAGAAATTAAATACAGTGCTCATAGCCACACAGCTAGGAAGTGTTAAGAGGCAAGTGGGATTCGGATTCCAAGCTTGGCACAGATCCAATCTGCTGAAAACCCACCTGCTCATCAAGAAAGAAAAGAAACCTTCCTCTGGTCTATCATGCTGGCCCCAACTGCGCTGTTACCTTTAGTAATCAGAGCTGGGCCTAAGAAGGCCTGACCTAGCTAGGAAGGACACTTACAATGTGTTGATGTTCAGTCGCGTCTAACTTTGACCCCATTTGGGGTTTTCTTGGCAGATATACTGGAATGGTTTGCCATTTCCTTCTCCAGCTCATTTTACAGATGAAGAAACTGAGGCAAAAAGGGTTAAGTGACTTGCCTGAGGTCACCAGCTATTAAGTGTCTGAGGCCAGATTTGAACTCAGAAAGATGAGTCTTTCTGATGTAAGGACTAACACTAGATCTTCTGCAGCACCTAGCTGCCCCAGGAGATAAAATACATAAGGCTAAATCAACGAAGTACAGGCTCACCAGGTAGCGAAGGCAGGGGATTTAACTGGAGCAGGGATTTAATAAGCTAACAAATGGGCAAAGCTTAGGGATCAGCAAACTGTACTGGGGTTAAATCATGATGATTTCTGGATTGAGGGTCCATGAGGACAGGAGCTTCATCACACAGACCTCTGGGCTTCATTAGAACATTTAGAATCATAGCAGTTTTACTTTGTCTTTGTATTCCTAGTCCTTAGCAT